GCATTTACAAAGATGACACATTTTGGGCATAGCTAAGTCATTATTTCATTAAGCGGCAGAATAACAGAATTGAGTCCTCTTTTTTAAATGTACCCCTATCTCAGGTATATCTGCTTTGCCTCAGCTCTTCTAATTCCTCTCTGCACATCCAATCTAGAGGCCTGCGTACCACACAAAAAAACAATGACAAACATCAAAATGAACTTCTGTCCAAGTTCTAGCTTCCTTTGCTCTCTTCAAATCTCTTCACGCCTTGACTTCTTTCAGTTACTGATCTGGCTGTATAGTTTGATTTCTTCTTTTTATCTTACCCCACTTGGAATTGGCAATAGGCTTTGTACCTATCATTTGTCATAGCATCTCCAATTCACCCTAATTTGCATCAAACTGTAGTGTGAGAGATTGGGAATGATTTTCACTTTCATATTTTTTTTTAATTGCTAATTCTAGTAAGTGAAAATCAGTGCATACTTATGTGATGTATCTTAAGTTCTTTCACAAAAGAAATGGGTATGTTTAGTGTAAATGACTATATGCATATCTTAGTGATATTTCAACATCTGGACCTACTTTGCAAAGGCTTAGTTTTGCAAGTTACACCAGAAAGAATGCATTTGAAAACATAGGGCCACGATATCTATCAAAAAGCCCACATCAGTGAGACCGTTAAAATTTTGCTTAAGTAAACATTAAGAATATGACAAATTGCTAATTTCCTATTAAGGACTGTAAAATTCCAACTGGGAATGCTCTGTGTTGGAGGTAAAAGAGTCAAAATAGAAATGTTTCCCTAATCTCAGAGACTCTGGTGCTGTCTTGATTTTGAATTAAGATAGCGATGTCACCTGTTGGCTGAGGAGTTACCAGCGGTCTTTACAGTTACTGCTCTTCCAAAGATTCCATTTGGAGATGTCTCATATGAGACTGCAGGTCCCATCATTAGCGAATGGGAGGTGCAAGGCCTTCTACTCCACAAGAATTTAGAAATATTTAAGTTACATCTATATCACCAGAAAAACTTTGTTTTCATTATCATAAAAACAAAGAGATAATGGTAACCATAAAATAATCAGAAAGCAGAGATAACACCTGAATATAGCATGATACAGTACAACTCACCTTGAGCTCTCATCTTGAATACAGAATCCTGAACCTGCCTGTAGGGTAAATGTTTGGTAAATGGGTCTTCAGGCTTTTCTGCCCTCTCACCATTAGCATTGCTCTGCCTGATGGGGCACCTGCAGTTGTTACATTGTTGTAAGCTGTCTTGTTTACTTCTGTGGGCATGGGAGAAGTATTGAGACAGTCACCAAGAGAGAAGCAGAAGCATAAGAGAAGCAGGAGAGAGAAGGGGAAAAAAGAAGCCAGAAGCAGCCCAGAATGAAGACTTGCCAGGGGCTAGGAGGCCTTTTGGCCTCCTGCACCCCCCCCACCTGGTTGCTGCTCTACATGTAACAGCTCAATAAATGCCTGTTAAAGCCACTGAGGGCTCCAAGACTCTCCTTTACCCGTCTGCCGGATCAGAAAACCTGCACCATGCCCTTCCTGCCACTACACTGCCACATAATCCTTTCTTTAGATACTCTATCACTTCCTTTGAAAATTCATATATATTCCAAATTCTTAATTAGCCATTAAAAAACACTGACCTCTGACGTCACAATAACCACTAGCATGCACATTATATGCTGTTTTTATATCACAGAGTTATAACTGTTTTATAATTTCAGAGTTGGTACTGGTTTGAGTACTTTGAGACATCTTTTAAAAATAGGAACTATGGAGCCTCCCTGGTGGCACAGGAGCTAGTCTCAGCACGATCAAGCTATTGGCAGCCACTGCAGCATGAGTTTGATCCCTGGCCAGGGAGTTGACCCACATGTGGCATAGCAGACCTCTCCTGTCTCACCCGCTGCTCCCCTCAGGAGTGTATTTCAGTAAATATGCCTGATCTGTTCCCCACTCTGTCTCTGATGAATCCTGTCACCCCCCCCCACACACACACACACACACACTCCTCTGGTCTATACCCCAGTTCATATATGCATAAATAAATAAAATAAATCTTTTTTAAAAAATAAAATAGGAACCATGAATTCACTAACATATTCACATTTTTTATTTGTTTAAATAGATAACATATTGTGTCAACACACTGGTGGTAATTTAAAAAGAAACAAACACAGATGTCAAGACTTCTTAGAAGAAAAAAGTCTGATTCTGTGGCAAGATTAGGCAAGTGAGCATGGAGCATCTTGACTTACTAAATCATGAAGAAGTTATCAAAGTTACTAGGATCATCTCAAAAGAACTCAAGAGCCAACTTGAAGATGTTCCTATGACCCAAAAATGGTGTGGGTACATCTGAGGATAAGAATTGTGATGGTATTTAAATCTATTATTTCATAAGTACACTTAACAATAGGCTTTATTATCACTATTGTATGATACCATGTAACTAATTCATTATTTTGAAATCTGTTATGTAAAGAGTAAGAAGCATTGATGCCATCTTTTGAAATAAAGATTGGACACCACTGGTAACCAATCAGTAAATGAGAAATTTCTGTTTATTGAAAGTATTCAAACTAATAAATATGAAAAATGATAAATTAGAATATCATCAATTTAAAATTCTTAATGGATTTAGGTTTTGGAGAATCAATAGTTGCTAACATCACAAAAAGGGACACAGTCAGACATATGTGTCTCCTGATGAAAGAACACAAATCAGTTGTAAAATATTTCCAGATAATTATAACCTGAATCGTATCAAGCTACCAGATGCAACTACTAAATTAAAGATAGTGTGGAAGGAAGAAGAACATGTTAAACTCCACCGTGGGTACACAAATAGCAAAATCCAGACCTTGAGAAATGCAGTAAGACAAACAATATACACCAATACACTAAACTCCAAGGTAGGAGAAAAAGGGAAGAAGATAAAGGGAGGAAATAAAAATCAAAATTAGCAGAAACGATAGAGATCAAAGGGCAAAAGATTTATATGGTCTGAAGAGAAACCAGAGTATATAAAAGATATTTATCAAGCAGCTAATTTGAAGTTATTGGACAAATTCAATTAATTGGATTCTGACCTGTACAGGAACATTTATGAGGCAATTGATATTTGAAACCTTTATGGAGATTCAACAATGGATAAAATATTGTTATTAAAGGGCCTCCCTGGTGGCCTAGGGGTTAAGTCTCAGCACTACCACCTTGAGGGCCCACCACGATGGCCTCAATTCGATCCCCCACCAGGGAGCTAACCCACATGGCACAGCCGACCTCTCCTTTCTCTTGTGCTGCTCCCCTCAGCAGTGTATTTCAGTCAGTCCACCTGTTCTGCTCCCCACTCTATCTCTGGTGAAATCCTCTTACATCATCCCCACACCTTTGACCTGCACTCCAGTTCTTCTAGGGAAAAATAAATTAATAAAATCTCTTTAAAAAATTCTTATTTTAAATGTGATAATTGCATTGTGTTTACATTTTGAAAGAATCGCCTTTTAGAGATAAATACAAAAATGCTTACAGATGAAATTACATGTTGATAATTGCTTCAAGATAATATGGTATATGGGGAAGGTGAGAGCATGGATAGGGAAAGATTGGGTATGGTTTCAAGACTGTTGGGATTGGATGAAGAGCTGGATTATTCTCTGTCTTTCTGAGGACATTTGAAATTCTATGTAATAAAAAGCTAGAAACAAAACCAACTAGAGGACACAGGTACTTCTTTGTTTATATTCTACTCTCAATGCTTAACCAGTTTTAAATATTTCAAGGGGAGAAATTTATAAGGACTAACTTAAAAAAAAACAAAGCTTATATTCATGAGTTTCATTTAATATTTGTAAAAGTAGTTCATTTTTTCTATGGAAAGTAACTACAGAGAGCAAACCTTCTTTATTCTATTTATTTACACACTCATTTATTTACTTCACCAACATACCATCTATATGTATTACGGCTACTGGCCATTGAATGTAAAGTCATTACACATTAAGGCCATATTCCTGTAGTTAAATTTAATTAGATCAATCATTATTTTAATAGGATAGAAATTTACCAATACATAGCTACCAGCTGCCTATTTATTAAAGGTAACCAGATACGAAAACAAAATGGAACTATTTCCTGATTATACTACATAAGCTACTTCTCTATCCAGTATGCAAAATGATTTTTTTCATTTCAGTGCTTTTGGCTATTTCCACTGATTTACTTTTGAATCATCTTAATTGTACAATATGTACTAGCATAATTACATCAATTTCCCAACATCCCAGCCTGTCCTCTTCATACGTTGTTTCCCCCTTTTTCCAGTGTTGGGTGCTATGTCTTATATCAATGAACTTTCAATAGAAACATTAAGAACTTCCTAAAATAAAATCCTGCTGAATAAGAAATGGGGTGATGACACATCAAAACAATAGTTTTCAATACCCACTGGCTTAGTTTAATCATTTCCTGATTAATTTAATTGTTTCCTCTCAACTTTTTTATAATCCATTGTTTCTGCTTTAGGTTTCTGAGAATGATACCCTTCTCAGGTCTATGATCTTACACTCCACCATTCACCTATCTCAAACCCAAAATTAAAGGGTAGGATTCAGGGGTGGGCTCCGGATGGAATCAGACCAGGTTTTTGCCACATGATCCTAGGGAGGCTTACATGACTTAGAATTAACAATAACTGTCCTTTAGTGAAGGGATATGTTTTCTCCTGATTGTTTTTGCAATAACATCAAAACATTTATAAAATGTTTATCCTCACAGATCCTGAAGTGCACCTTTTTTGGGTCATTGGCTCATTTGCAATTACTGAAACAACCAAAGAAAGAACAAACAAATTCAAACAAGTAAATGGAAATTACACTTCCTCATCCTCCTATTTCTCTATTGCAGGGCCTGTTCTTATTTATGATTATGTTCTCATTCATATTAAGGTCCCGTTTATTGCATAAAATTAATAATTAAAGAAAAACACTTACCCAGAATATGAAGTTGAACGTGAACATAGCATGTTTTATACAGACATTCACACCTCCCATGTTGGAAAAGGATCAGGAACTCAGATGCCGCAAATTTAACTGTTCCTTATGGGATTGCCCTGCAATGCGTGCTGGGCGATGTGCCTGCAGGGATTTCTGTGCCCACAATTCAGAGCAGAAATAGACAGTAAAAGGGCGGGGGAGGGGTTGGGGGGAGATATTCCAGTTATTAATGTGAATAAAAAATTAACCCACACATTTAAATATCCCAAGGTCTGTTTCTAGACAAGTGTATTCTTTTGCTTCCATGGCTCCTGGGGCACCAGCCCAGAATACGTGTGATTTTTACTCAAAACCTGCCTCCTCTAAAGTAGACAGATGCCACAGGGAGATAGGCACAGCCTTTCTAAGGAAGGGAGAAAGGCACAGCGACACCAGGTCTCTAGATCTCAGAGACCACAACCTGACTCTCCTGCCCTCTGTTTCAACTAGGGAACTAACATTGTTTTGTTCTGACATAAAGGGACATTGTGTCTTAACTCATTTTTGCATTGCATTTTCTCAAGGATACAAAATTTCTTCCAGATGCAACAAAACATATTTAGAAATCTGGAAAATCTGAAGACTTCAACTCAACAACCTTTTATCTTTAATTCCAGAATCATGGAACAACTATTACAAGTACCTGCCTTCCAAAGCTTAAAAATTTATTTCAAAACAATTTCATGGAGCTGCCTTCAATACAACAGTTGTGGGAATTGGGGGGGAGAAAGATTGTCTCTTTCCTATCGTAAGATGATTCCATTTTTACCCTTTTTTTTTTCAGTAGGAAGAATATAAAAAAAATTGTCAGGAGTTGCTGACCACAGTTGTGTTCATCTTAGAATGTGTAGCTGTTTGATAATAATTTTTAAGGTGTGCCCTGTGTTTCCTTCCTTTGATATATTACATCTAGCAACACCTCCTTATCCACCAACTCAGTTTCTGGATTTCTAGTCCTTTTAGACAAAAAAATTCAAAATGAGAAGGTGGTCACAGTTCAGTGACCATAATCTCTACAATTTGTTCCTAGTGCTAACAGAATGCAGCTGTCCCAGGTAAAGGCAAATTTTCTGACCTAATCAGGGAGGTGTAGACTGCTTTTCTGTAAACAATTTGGGTCATGCTAATTTTCACATCCTGCCTCTTGAAGGGTGTTCTTTTCCCTCCTCAAAATAAAAGAACCCTATACTTCAAAAGGTTGTTGCAAAAATAATTCTTTTTAAAATCTTTAAGTTCTATACAACTGTTGCCAGCACGGACACTGAAAATATTGATTAGTCTTTAAAAAATTCTAGTTATCACTGACATACAAAGATGTTTCTGAATCTCATTCCTTGACTTTAAGTACAAATATTTTTCATCTATAAACAGCAATATTATTTAGTGTTAAAGATCAAATTTAGGATTAGATTTAGAAAAGTAATAAAAATAGTTGATGTCTGTACTATTTCCTCCTAGAAGGTAGAAATAATTTCATAAACATCTACTGAGACATTACTGTATATAGGATCAGCCATGACTGGAAGAAGAGCTTTTGACTGAATGAAAACCAAATGGATTTATAGAGGTAAAATAAAAAATACATAAATAAATAAATAAATAAATATATAATAAAATGCTGTGTTTTGTTGACAAGAATGTATTGACTACTTACCAAATTTCAGTTTGGAATAATATATATTTTTGTAGATAGTGAATCTCCTTTAAAAGAAAATAGTTTTTAGTTAAGTCATTGTTGAACTTGGAAACACAAAAACCCAACGGCTGTGTTTTTATAGAAAAATGATTCTATGTGATAGAATCCCCAGTTCAACTTAATATCTATAAAAAACAGTTCATTCTTCTAAATTGCTATCCTGATTAATTTTATAATCACACAATATTTGACCAAGCTGAAATTGTAGAGTCATTTTTCATTCCTTTTTCTCTTGCCTATATCCAATTACTTCCCACAGCCAGCTGAACTCTGAAATTTCCCTCAATCTGTTTCTTCCATCTCATTTGTTTGCCTCTGTCATTATTCAACTTTTTATTATCTCTTACTTCAGCCATTTCAATAGAATCATAATTAGTGTCCCTGCTGGTCTCTCTGCCCGCCTATGTTCCTTAGTGCTCCAGAATTCTCTTCCCCTTTTTATTTTGTCTGTAATTCCCTTTATAAAATACTTACTTGCAGTTCTTCTGACTAAAAATCACTCTAAGGATGATTTCCTATGACCTATAGGATAAATCTCAGATGCTATAAAATGGGACTTAAAGCACATGACAAGCAAGTCTCTATTCAACTTCCAAAATTAACTCCTGCTCTGCTGTCCCCAGGTAGTCTCCATTCCTAGATGCCATAACAGCAGAATTATTTCACATAGTTTGGGATTTTATGCCTCTGTGCCATTTCCTGATACCTAGACTATTCTTTCCTACATGGTAAATTATTGAAAAACCCATTGGTGCTCAGGTCAAAAGGCATTTTACCCATGGACCCTCCCCTTGGCTGACCCACTTCCCCCACTCTGAGCAGAACCATTTGCTTCTCAAGTCTCATGCCCATTAAAATTCAAAGAAAATGTTAGTCTACAATTGCCACCCTTCATAACATTGAATTTTATCTCTATCTTATTTGATCCTATTGCCTAGAAGACCATAATCTTGACCTACTTATTCTATCTCCACATGGCATTGGACATAAAAGAATGTGCAAAAACAAGGAAGATTTCCATAAAGTCCAATCAAAAATTCTCTCAGAGTTGCAGAGAACAGCCAATATATTACCTCTCCCCCACAAAAAAAGTCAATTAACAGATAAATTAAAGATATTTATTTCAGTACTTCTCAAGAACCTTTAACTTGTTGTTATTCAAAGAGGTAACAAAAAAATAGCAATTTCCAAATGACTGTGATCTAAGACATATTTTTGAAATATATCCTTGGACCAGTGTTGCAATATTTACTTATAGAAACATCAATCTAAGCAAATCTCCACATTTTATACATGAGAAAAATGAAACCCAGAAAAACTGAATAGCCCAAGTTCACAAAACTAGATAGAATTAGGTAGAACTCATTCTAGAAGAGTTTTCATGATGATCAACTCAGTATTCTGTCCATTTGTATCAACTACTTCAAGTTATGTAATATGATTATATAGTGAGTCAAATGAAAGTAAACAGATGTTCTGTATGATTACTAAAAATAGTGAATTAATATGACTTGCTATTTAGTCATTCATTCCATGTATATTTATTGATCCCACTTCGTAATTTTGTTTTCAAAATCTAGATGCCCAATGTATTTGTCAGTGAAATAGGTAGTGGAAGCCCAAAGTCATGTGTCTCAGAATAAAGATTATATTCTCATTGATCTTATTAAGTCTTCCATTACCACTACCACACTGTACTGGTTTTGTTTTGGGGTTTTTCAGGTTTTGGCATAGTAAATACTCAATTTATTTTCACAAAGGCTGGTAGCAGTAACAAGAGAAATTATGTTGAAGTTTCCTTATGCCTGTATTGAGGAGTGGGTGCAAGTACATGACATCATGCATTCTAAGCAATTAGAGTAAAGAGAAAGTTTTAATACTCTATTATTCCTTGCTTTGAAAAACCTTTTATTTTTGGAAAATTGAAGTTGCTCACTTACGGGTTTTATGATCCCTAACAGGAACAGAGCCTTGGCTCTTGTCCTCTAGTCTAATTCCAGCATTCCCTAGACCAACATTCTTCTTATGCTGTCATTTGAACATAATGCTCTTTGCTTCCTATCCTGTGTGCTTATGGAGTCTGGCTCATAAAAACCTTTTGCACATTCCTACTATGGATGGGAAGCATCTGGTATGATAATGATCCCTCTCCTTCCTTTGCAGGACATTTTTTAAACAACGATAGCTACTTGTGATATGAATTACAGCTCAAAAATAAAGTATGCTTTAGAATTGTCATTGTGAAGTAGCAATGTGGTGCTCATAAAGAATAAGGATCCAATATCCAATAACTAATATTCTTCCTCTTTTTTATAGATATTTTATTTTAAAATATTCATTATGTTAACTAACCATATAGAAAATATCCAGGGAATAATTGAAAACACGTATAATAAACTTTATCACCAAAAATCTGTTACTGTGTTTATAAGTAAATATTGATGCAAAATCATGCAATAATTAAAAGTGCATTTTCTGACCATGGTGGATTAAAAATAGTGATGAATTCTTAGTAGATCTCTCTGCAGTGTTTATAATCCTTTTATACTTGTAACAGTTACAAAATGAGAAAGAGACCAGACGCAGGGTGGGGATCCAGAGTCAGGTCTTTGAATGTGTAGTTCCCCAAAGCTCAGCTTTCCCACCCTTTCATGAAGGAACTTGTTTCCTTAGGACAGATTCACCTTAACTGATTTCACAAGAGTCAGATGGTCATTTTCTTAGTTTATCCAGAGATGAATACCCATCAGGTCATGTAGCATAAGACAGTAGCTGATCAGAAAATCCTCTTTGTAAGAAAGCAGCATAGAAACCAGGGCAAGCATAGATGAATTGGGTGGATGGGAGGGAATTCAGTGAAGGAGTCAGTGGCTGTGTTGCCTAGATTTAACAGGCTGATGAGTCTAAACCAATATCAGAGATCTGTCCAATGGTCAAATCCTCCAAATAACACTATTCAGGGTTACAGTATCTTCTCCCTGAATTTTGCCCTGACATACCACCAAATTCTTTCTCCTCAAGGCTGCCTTCTTTGTATTCTATCCAGTGCACCCCCTTCTATGATCAGTCTATTCCCAGGAAAGGGTACATTGAAATTAAATAGGCATTTACCCATCTGTAATTACAATTCATCCAGCTTCAAAGATTGAATTGTAAATGCATTTTAGATAGTTCTAATATTCTTTGTTTAAACATGATTGCTCTCTTGGTCAGTCTTATTTTCCTTCTCTCCTAATCAGGAAATCAGTACCTATATAGTTTACAATACTAAACAAGAGATTGAAGAACGAAAAATTGAAACTTTGCCTGGTTATTTGCTTTTAATTTTAAAGTTTAAATACCAACCTGCTTGTCCATAAGTTCTCTCAACATCAGTCCCTTCTTTGGTCAATTCACAAGGTATACATTAGCTGCCAGGCATGATCAGGCTCTGAAGTGAGGTGATAGGGGAGTGAGTTGAGGTCACCAACATAAAAGAAAAAAGAGAAAGACTAGATTGGGGATGCTTAATGCTCGTATCAGACACTAGCTTCTCAAACTGAAGGAGCCAATAAAAATGTTTCACATAATTTTACATAGGCTCATCCCCAGAGAAGTCTGAAACAGGCAGAGAGACCTTACTCATAATTCTAATTATGATCTCACAATTAATGTGGGGGAGGGGATAATTTTCTTATATCCCTCTCAGTTATTTTGGCTGGTCTAATAATTAAATTGATGCAGGGCAGATTAGCAGGAGAAAAAAAGACCAACTTAATTTTGTACATATAGAGGCTTTGAGATTATGGGAACTGTGGAATGATCAATCATGAGGTTTATATACTTCTTTAGGCAAATGGACAAAACATTTGTGAGGAACTTACTAGATGAAGAAATTTTGGACAATGCCATCAATTTAGTGAGAAATTTAGCAGAGTTTATTTACTTAGGAGATATAGACCTCAAAACTTTGTCTGTAGTGATAAGATGTCTCCTTTTCTCCTGGTACAAGAAGGCATACTTCATACAGAAGATTTGTTTCCTCCTTTTGGGGAGAAGAAAGTAAGCCCTCTAATTCCTTCATCAGCTGTTTCTCCAGCAACTTTAATTCAAAATAACAAATATGCCACATTGGCTTTGAGCCCCAAGATGAGTAATTCTAAAGTAGAATGGTTTATTCAACCTCACACAGTGAGTGTATGTCATGGCTTCTGTTCCCAGGAGAAAATAAAATAATAACAGGAAGTCATTGTAAAAGGTCATTTATTAGGAAATCCTAAACTTGCACTTCATAACTTTTTAAGAAACAACAAAATATATCCCAAATAAGTCCAGGTGGGAAAGGACTCAGACACTGTTTTAAATTTTTTTAAAACATAGAGAGTGCTATGTAGATTATTATTGAGTACTTAGGAGATCTGATCTTAATGTGAAGAAACTGAGATATCCCAAGAAACCTGTGGCTTTATGCCTAAACCATCATTCCTGAAACAAAAGGACATAGCTTCATTTTCCTCACTGCCATCCCATATGAATGGATCATCCTAAATTCAATCCAATGAAAGTACATTCAAAATCCAAATACAACCCTTCTAAAAAACTAGTCAGAGAATACAATTCTCCTTGAATTCTCTTCTAAATCTTATTTCATTAATAGTCATGTATTGAGGTGTCCTTCCCTGAATTTTCCAGTAATTCTCTTAACATTTTGATAGATTCAAAAATATTTTATCCATAGATCAACTGTGTGAAGAAGTAAAACATATGTATTAAACATGCTAATCTTGGGGCCATTCAAATGCCTATAGGTAAAACAAAACTGAGGGTTAGTTTTGCTTTACACAGAGTTAGGTGGACCTTTAATTTTGCCTACACTAATCATTAAACCTTCAGAAAATATTCCAAAGAAGGACTTACTGATTTTTTTAACTGTGGAAAGGACCCAAACTCTTTCTGTATATGAACTTATTTATACCAAATTCACACTCGAGACTTGAGAGTCAGAAAATTCGTGTAAGTGTTCTGCTCTCTTTCCTCTCCACTTTTCATGCTTTCCTGAATACCTGAGTGTGAAGAGTTATTGTTAAGCCGGAAAGACTGGCCTTGCCAAAGTCCCTAAAAAAGGGATTTGCAAATCTGGGAACACATTCCAGGAGTTCTAGCTACCAGTACAGGGCCTGATATATAAGAAGTATCAGCCAGAAATGTCAAGTTTCTGGAGAATCACTAATTCTTAGCCAATCCTCTAAGGAACATTCTGAGAAGGCAATAGTTCATAAAGCAATTCTCTGTACAGTAAAAGATTGTGTCATTCCAAGGCTTTGAACTCTCTCATGGTTTCCCATCACAGTTAGGATGAAATCCTAAGCCACACATGATAGACCCTGGCCTGCCTCGCTGACCTCATTTCCTCTTGTTTTCTCCTTCACTCATGCTGTTCCAACCACAGTGGACTCCTTGCTGATTCTTGGACCTGTCAAATGTATTTCCAACTTAGCCTTCCCATTTCCTTTTCTGTCTCTGGAACCCTCTTCATCTGCAGAGATAAATGGTTTATTGTCTCCACTCATGGTATACATATTTGCTTTATTATCTGCTTTCTTTCTAGAACATATTCTTCAGAACACCAGGAAATTTTGTGTTGTTCACTGACATATTCCCATGGCACAAAATAAAGTAGGTATTCAGTAAACAGTTATTGAATGAATGACTAAAATAGCAGGTTATTGGAATTCACTATGTAATTTATTTTTTAATAATAAGGAGCATCTGTTTGTTTTCACCATTACATTCCTATTGCCCAGTGATTGGAAGATTATAATCACCACATGTGCTGGAATACAGCTTTGTAAAAGAAAAATAAAGTCCACATTGTTCTTATGGACCTTGTGGTCCACTAACTTGAGAAAACAAACAAACACATACACAAACACCAACAGAGAAACACCAAGCTCATTCAGAAGCCATGGGCTAAGTACAGGTTTGGCATATGGGAGAAAAAATACTGGTGTGTTTTAGCATAAAAAGGTATCTCAAGCATAATTTGACACAAAATCAGAGACAGTTCTTCAAGTCAGATCCTACAGTTGCAAGGCAGAGAAAAGAGAAGAGCATTTAGTTCAGAGCTGTTGGAAGTACAGACAAGTGTTAGGGGCTGAACTGTGCCTCTCTCATTTATTGAATTCCTAACTCCCAGTACCTCACAATATGATGACATTTGTGACATCAGAGCAGGAGGGCAGAGCAGAGGTCGTAGACCATCCTTCTGCCTACAAAAACACCAATTAGTCAACAATTCAACATAAATTCAACAATTTGAATTCAACAATTCAAAATAAATTCTCCTGGTGAGAAATATAGAAACTAAGTGAAAGTCTCCTGCATGCTGGGCAACTATGAAAACAGATTCACTGGTGCCAACAAGAAGATCCAGGACATCTTCTTCCTGGAGACCCTTCCCCTAGGGCAGCGCTATGTAGTCAGAAGGAGAATTCCTGGCTCCTTGTTTATCTCAGAAGGGGGGAAGGAATTGGTTTGCCTTCCATTGCACCAAATTTTCTGAGGTGCATTCCCTGAGAACAGTCCTCAGTTCTGCCAGTTTAGACAGGTCCACCACAGCCTAACAGCCTGAGGGAAAATGACAGGAGATTGGGCTCACAAATACCATACATGTTCAGTAAAAAAAAGAATGAACAAGTCCAGATCTCAGCTTTCTCCCACCCCAGGGAGGGACAGAGCCCTGTGTCAATAACTCACCTTCTCTGAGGGGATTTCTAGAACTGTGGCCTCTGCCCTGTCAGTCTTGGAGCTCAGTCAGGTCTATAGGCCACAGTTAAGCAGCTTGACAAAGAATGGGGATGGCAGTTAGGGCTACACTTCACCTTGGCTGCACATAACAAAACTACCAAACCTACTGCTGCCTGCTTCTCCCTCAGGAGGGGAAGATTTGCGAGAGGCCAGCAGAATTGCTGGCCAGTCTGATTGGTGGACATACTCTCCTACAAGAAGTCAGTCTTATCTGAAGATAGGAGAGATCTAGTATGTAAACACTAATGTAGAAGGTCAAGAAAAATGATGAATCAAGCAAAGATATTCCACACAAAGAAACAAGAGAAATCTCCAGAAACAAACCAAAATGAAATAAAGTTATATGATTTACCTAATAGAGAATTCAAAAGAGTTGTCATCTAGAAATTCACTGAAGTCAAAAGAATAATACATGAACAAAATGAGAACTCCAGCAGAGATGGAAAATTTCAAAGACATCCCTTTTTGCAAGTAACATGATCTAATATGTGGAAAAGCCCAAAGATTCCATAAAAAACTGGTAGAATTAATATATAAATTCAGTTGTAGAATACAAAATCAGCATACAAAAGACTTGGAATGATTGTTGCTAGAGACTGGAGAGAGGGGAAAATGCAGAGCTATTTACCAATAGACATAAAGTTGAGTTAAATAAGATCAATAAGCTCTAAAGATCTTTTTTACAATAATGCACCTATATTCAATAATAACATAGAGTTAAAATGTATAGAGGAAAGATCTCATGTTAAGTGTTCTTACAATAAAATAATAAATAGGTAAACAAATAGATAATTAGATAGAATGTGACTGTATTTAGATATAGGGTTTTTAATGAAGTAATTAGGGTAAAATGAGATCATTAAAGTGTACCCTAATCCAATATGAATCATGTCCTTATCACAGGAGGAAATTAGGACAGACACACATAGAGGAAAAACCATGTGAAGACAAAGAGGGAATATACCCACCTACAAACCAAAAAGAAATGCCTCCAAAGGAACCAACCCTACTGATACCTTGATCTCAGACTTCTAACCTCCAGAATTGTAAGAAAATTAATTTGTGCTGTTTAAGTCATTCAGTATGTACAACTTTGGTATGGCAACCCTAGCAAATTAATATAGCAGGTTTCTAGCAATTGAAGTGACATGGTGCAGTAATCTAAGCAGAAGATGATGGTGGCTGATCTAGGATGAGTCATGTAGAGGAAAAGAAGTGGTTGGATTCAAGCATGCGTTAGAGGTGAAATCAGCATTCAGGTGAGAGAAAGAGAGGAGTATGGATACCACCCAGATTTTAACCTGTCCATTATCTGTGGTGGACAATGATGCCACAGAGCAGGGGAAAACTGGGGGAAATTCTGTTTTGATCAATTTGAGATGCCTGTCAGAGACCCACGTATAGGTGTCACGTGTGCAACCGAATATATGAATCTAGATTCCTGGGAAAATTTTCTAAGGAATTTTTTGAGAGTAAAGAGGATCAGTCTTGGAAGAACAACCATCTTTTATCAATGAAAAAACTGCCCCCCCACTCTAGAACTCTTTCTCATCATCACCATAATTAGAGATAATTTTTAGACTTTCTGTTTGGCATAAAACCCAGAGCCTGCTCTTATTAAACCTGCTGTAGCATTTTTAACTTAATATGAAAGTAGCAAAGCAAAACCAATACTGCATTCTCACTTGTCAGCATCCCCTTTTTTATCCCTTTTATTTCTTACCTAAACTCCTTCTATTCAACATCCTCTGAGTGCTTTCATGCTAGGCTCCTTCATCACGAATTCACCTTGCACAACCCAGCCCTCCCAGGAGGAGAGCAGGTTCCAATTAAGCTAACAGACAACAGGTTGAAAACAGTGCATACTGACATCAGAATAACACAATGTTTTCAAGAAAGAAAGGTTCACTGCTTGTTTCCAGAAACAGCAACATACAAGGCAGCTCAGCTTACAAGGAGAGAGAGACTGTGAAGCACAAAGGCAAAAAAGAAAACTTTCATGCAATCCTGAGAGAGGACTGTGGAAGCCTCACGCTTTGGTGAAAACAGGTGCATTGTCTTCATAGAGTCCTGAATTTTAGAATAAGAATCTACTTCTTAATGACTCGAGAACTTTGTTCTTTTCCTCCTCTCAACAAATATTTTTAAGTGTTTATAAAGTACTAGACTCTGGGTAGAGGATAGTCAATAGAACAAACACCATCTCAACCCTGGTACAGTTTACAGTCTAACAAAAGAACAATACATGAACAAAATGAGAACTCCAGCAGAGATGGGAATCAACTCCAGGAAAGATGGGAATCAACTCCAACAGACATGGGAATCAACTCCAGCAGAGATGGGAATCAACTCCAGCAGAGATGGGCATCAACACAACACAAAGCAAACAAAGCAACAGATCAGTATTTCCTTACAAAGGATGATGAAGGGACTTGAAATGTGGGTGCATCCCCTTCTTCAGTGCATCATTCACAGGAAAAGTCCTACGGATTGGGTTTATGGTCCCCCTCTGTCCTGCGGTCTCTCAGAAGGACAATATCAGGCACAAACAGCAGCTGGGAAAGCTGGTTTCCAAGATCAAAAATTGGAGCCTCAGCCATGAGCTATTCTCCAGATACACCTAAGGTTACCAAAGTTCCAAGTGATTATGACCTTGGATTTCAACACAAACAATAACCTCATGATTTCTGATGACACAAATGGAGTCCAACATAGGCTTATCCAAATATCCCAAAGGGGCTGCTGAGAAATATAACCATATCTTAGTGGGAGCCCCTCTATACATCTCTGACCAACATTTCTTGGAGATGGGTGTGGGAATGTTTAAAAAACACGATCTCTATATTTACAAAGAATTGATTTCTAGAGAAGGGAAGCTCAAACTTTCTTTACACTTGGATTCTAGACTATGAGAATTTGAGGTTAGGAAAGCAATTCTGGTCCAAGGTCAGGCCTAGGAATACCATCTCATAAGACTCCAATTGCAATTTATGTGGATTTTTCAGGGTTGGACATTGTAATTCATTGTGGGGCTTGTTTTTTTAATTTTTTTTAACATTATCACTTTATCTCATAACTCTACCTTTACCACGTTTTGGTTTCTGAGAAACTGTGCCCAGTCGCTGTACTTTCAAATCAACTAATATCTGTGCCTTGAAGAATCCAGACATAGCAATTCTTCCAATATTTCTGAGGAACAAAAACAGTGTTCTGGGCCTCCCTGGTGGCGCAGCGGATTGAGCACAGCGCTGTGAAGCTGTCTGCAGCCTCTGCAGCCTCTGCAGCGTGGTTTCGATTCCCGGCCGGCCAGGGAGAAACCCACATGGTGCGGCAGACCTCTCCTGACTCGCCTGCTGCTCCCCTCAGCAGTATATTTCAGTCATCTGCCTGTTCTGCTCCCTGCTCTGTCTCTGGTGAATCCTCTCACCCTCCCACACCTCTGGCCTGTACCCCAGCTCTTGTATAAAAATAAATAAATCTTTTTTAAAAAAAGGAAAGAAAGTTCTTTCCTATAAAAAAAATTAGAAAAAAAAAAACAGTGTTCTGTCCCCAGAATGAATATATAAACAAATTTTGCACTCTTGAAGTTAATGAGATTTCTTTTTTGTTCACAAGTTTTAAAGTGTTAGAGCAGAAAAAAGTGAATCACGTTATACTCCATAAATCAAATTAAATAATCAAGAATTACTTTCAAATTTTATATAATGAGTATTAAATATTGGACCTGACATCTTTGAGATTTTGAATATCTTTGGTTACCTAGATCTCTTTCCTGAAATTTCACCATGATTATCACTTTTTGTTCATTCAAACCTATCAGTATCTTACACATTAGTGAATTCATGAAAGAAATAAACATGTTGGGACAGATCCAAATGATTGTGTAGTTGAGTAAATACTAGGATCATGACTTCATATCATAAATATGAATTACATATCTTAGATGTGTATGCTTTTATGAGACAATAAGTAAATTGGTATTTTTAGGAAAAAAAAAACAAATTGTGATGAGGACTATAAAAGAAATGGACAACGCATCAAGAATGTCTGTGATATGATATAGTGGCAACTGATGGCTTTCTTAGAAAATATTGCCAATTTAGCATTGAAAACACTTAGTACATGCTACCCTTTTTCATTAGACTGGATCACTGTGATCAAAACTCAAACTTCTCTTTATTAAACTAATGGTGATCATTGTAAAACCTGTGTAGGGTAAGGAAAATGTCAGGCTTTTCTGCCCTTCCGCCATCAGGATAGATGATGGATCCTTGTCCTGAATGCATGCCTGATGGCGGGCACCTGGAATAGGGTGTGGGCATAGGTAGATGGGATTCAGCTGAGCTAAGACTGTGTTTTTAAGGGCGGCGTCATGGGGGGACGCCAGCAGCAGCAGCAGCAGCAGAAGCAGCAGTAGAAGCTGAAGCAGAAGCCAAAAGAGAACCCGAGAAGCAGCAGAACGAACGCTAGAGAGCCCAGATAGTGAAGACTTGCAGCCAGCACCCCTGCCTGCCATATGCCTGGTGAACCCCAAATAAAAAACCTGCAAAACTACTGAGGACTCTGACTCCTCCTTTACCCAGTCTGCATGGGATCAGAAAACCTGCCCTGTGGTCCAGTTCCTGCCCTCTACAACCTGTTAATGTAAAAGTTTTAAATAGTTCTGGTTCCATTATGACAAAAATATTTCTATATATAAGTAAGTTTAAATGCTCTATTTGTCATATCTATCTATGCTTCTATATATGAATTAATGTATACATAGATTTGTAAAATATAAATGCATATATATTTCTGTTTGTGCTATTTTATTGATATTTATGTGTCGTTTGTGCTAATAAAAAGCATTCTCCCCATACACACAAAAAAAGTCAAAAATAGTGATGATTTACTCTTAAAGTATCTCTTGGGAGGTAATGTTTTAGTTGAAATAAAAAATGAGGAGCCAGTTATTTAAAGAATGTGGGAGAAATTATCAGGGAGAAGTAAGGTGTTTTACCTTATTCATAAGATGGATGTTTTGTAAAATTAAAAAAGAAGTTACATATAACATGCTTAGCACAGGATTGGCACTTTGTAAATGCTCAGCAAGTGATCATTCTTATTATTGTAATGGCTGTTAACCTCATACACTTGATAACCAACCTACAAAAGCATACAGATGACTGAAAAATCCTTTAAACCCTAACAGACACTCAAATAACAAGTATCTATCACGACATCTTTAAACAAGGGAAATATATAGAAAACTTTACAAAGCATAGAGAAAATTTCATTGAGAAGTTCAGCATCTTTTTTCTTCCCCCCTTGGTTAGTCCTGCATCTGGATTTCTGTATTATGGCAAAAACTTCGCTAATTCATATGCTGATAATTAGGGATCTTACATTTGTTCTTTGAGGCAAATGAATAATGTAATCAAAATGTAAGGAGGCAGAAAGCTTAATTTAATTAAGGAAACCTGTTTTTTTCTGAGCCTCTTTAACCACATACATTTGCATACAATTTATGTGTTGATTACAAATGACTTGGATTTTCTCATTAAAGCAAGACAAGTTAATATCTTACTGTATAACACCTGACCTTCATAAACTTGAATCACTTGACAAAGTTAGCCATAAGGTATGCCGCCAACTTAGAATGATTTCTTCCTTCAGTTAGTCAAAATTAGTTTCTGTGTAGCCAACTCTATATTGATTTGCTTTCCTTTAATAATCTTTCAAAATGTATACTTTGTCATTTTCCAGAAGTTAGTGGATCCAATTAAGGTAAACTCTTTTATTGTTAAATGATCTTTGTAAGAATTATAATTTGATAAAGATTGAAAGGGTGTACAAGATGTAATTTTCTTTCCTTTATTATTCTGCCAAATCTTCCTTTCTATAATCCTCGAGACTTTTCCAACATCTCTGATTCCATATGTCCAGCACCCCATAAGGGCCCCATATGATTCCCTACATATTTTTTAAAATTGTCTTTGTTCTCTGCCTCATGGGAGGAGATGAGTTGTTAGGAGATTTGTGCAAGTTTTAGCACAGAGATCCTAAAGTCAGGCCTCCCATTAGGCATCAGGGCTCAAAGTGAGCCCTGAAGGAGGAATGTGTTTTATTAACTTTGAATGATAATCTCAGTGTCCCATAGGTAGGAATGGTTTCAGATTATCTCTAAAGTATGTCTCATTCAGATCATTTCATAAAATATTTTTAAATACTCAAGATCACTATTAGACACGTTTTGAACACTGTTAAAGGAATTTAAGAAGAAATATATAGTCACGGTGCTCATACAGATATCAACTGAACATGTGTTAAAGAGTTTATTTTTAATTCATCATGAATGAACTAATTGACAAGAATTACAGTTTAAAGGAGACTCCAAAAACAATTTGTCTGTGAAGAATTTTGAAATGAATGTGTAAATTGAGGCAAAACTGTGTACTTATATACAGAGGGAGAGTAGTCAATTGACCCTCTATTTATTAGCATGGCCAAGACCAGAATTGTTACTTATTGCTATCAATTATCTATAATTTAAAGGATTGTAAAATAGCTCAAAGGAAAAAAAACATCCAGAACTTCCATGAAATCAGAATGGAATGACCCAGAAGGGAACCCTGTAATCAAAGCAGAGTTTTCCATTGAAGCACAAAATTTCCCCTACAGTGCAAATGGCACATATGCTTTAACTGTCACTCCCATACTTATTTTCCATAAACGTATATTGAAATTCAGAGGCCAACAGAACACTAATCTCTGGGGACCTAGAGATGACTCATGTACTGTTTGTATCCTCAAAAACCTTTAAAAAATCAAGGAGTCATATGTGCAAATAAATGAGGGTGGAAAAGTGGAAGAGGAGCTATAATAAAGGTTTATACAGAACACAGTGGGGGGACAAAAATATTGAGTAATCTTTAGTAACTATTTGTGTGCCTGGAATTGTTCTAAATGCTCTTACATGATTATTTCCTTTAAACATCATATAGTAGGTATAATCACTAATCCCACTTTATAAATGGGAAAACTGAAGCACAGAAAAATTAAAGAACTGAATTCAGGATTTCACAGATCATAAATGGTAGAACCAGATATAGACCTAAGTATGATTCCATAACCCATCCTCCAATATCTATACCACTCAATCCACGAAGAATAGAGTGTTAAATCCTACTTTGAATGAGGGATTTGGGTAAGAAACTGGAGAAGCCAACAAATGACTTGAATTTTGAAGGAAGGCTGGGATGTATCTACAGGTTGAGACAGGGACTCTTCAGAAAGAAAGAGAGCTACTTGAGTTAATGTACAAAGACTTGTATTGCTAGGAAGAGGCCAGATCATAGGAAGTCTCTTAAACCAAACTAAATTTATCTATGGGAATAGAGAATTGACATACAGATATCAACTGTATGTTGATATCTTTATCTATGGGAATAGAGAATTGACAAAAGCATATAAAATTGAGGAAAATCATGATTAATTTTACTTTTTAGAGTGAATTACGCTCTTGTTTCTTTTGATGGCAAGAGAGAGGATGAATTAGAGATTGGCAAGAGAGAGGATGTTTAGAAGCTTTGGGAATCGGGCAAGCAAGACATAATAAAGACTTAAAACTAGAGAGCAACTTTGGAGATG